TGAAACAAAACATAGTTTTAATCCTAAACAAGTTACTAATGAAAGCCCTGTGCAAACTTAGCCAAAGAGCCAAATTACAATACAATTTTAGAAAAATTGGCAACCAAATCTGCTTTGTTTAGTAAACTTTTATTTTACTTAACAAAACTATTATTAATGTGAACAAAGTGCTTCCATCCATCTCCTCGGAAACTTTGAGTAAGTTTGAGCTGGTCCACAGGGGCCAAAGTCACATGCAGTTCTTCCACCACTGGCTTAGCATTTATTTTCATGTTATCTTTATATATCATTTCAAATAGCTTGGCAGCACTAGATTATCTCTGCACTGTGCAGTGTCCTTCCCTCTTATGTATAACACCTAAAATAGTCTTCCTTGCAGAGACTTGTATAATATTATTTAAAAACCATAACACAATAAACTATTCAGTCATTAAATTGAATGTCGAATAATGAAAATCTTTGTGTATGATAGTGTGACATTTAGACAAGGACTGTATAAAACCTATAGAACTTGTTTGTTATAGAAAACATAAGGACATTTTTAATATTGATAGAATATTATGCAGTTGCATTATAATGCAGATAAAAATGTTTTGTAGCAGATGATAAAATTAAACTCTATCATATATTTGGGAGAAAAAACAAAGTAATTTATAATCTTATTTATCATTTTATACCTTTTTTGCAAACTTCCTTTCCATAGTCAGTTTGAGTGGAGCGTGGAGTCCTTGGATGTTCCTCAACATTGCCATGTTCATTTTCTCTTCATTAAGATGATACTGTAATTTAACAATTCAAATTATTTATGTAATAAGATTGCAAAACTAACGACACAATAGAATACACAGATGATTTGTATAATTCTTTTAACTCATGTTTAGGGCTACAATGACTAGTTAGTTTTCTTCTAACAGACTTTTGTAAGGTACTTACATTGCGTTCTGAGGCCTCCAAAGGATGCGAGACGTGTAATTTGGGTTTCGCAGCGGTTAGCCCTTCGACAAAAGGATTAGGAATTCCATAAGGACCATCTCGTATTTTGCACTCGCTTGCCTGTTCTGGCTTAACTTTCACAGACGGCAATCCGAAACTCTGAAAATAATATAAGAGATATATAAAGATAGATACATTTCAGTAGAATATGCTAAATGATGCACAAAGATGCTTTATGTGTTAACCCATAAATGTAGATTATTTTACCATTGTGAATTATGAAATTGATCAAGTTAAAAACTTAAAGATTACTGTTGAGGTTCTAGTTTATGATTTTTGTCAAAGGACTATATTATTCTTTTACTTTTAAATATAGTATAGTACAAACACACTGTATCACTAGCGGTTTTTGAAAAATTATTTGTCAAATCACGTCCACAGATGTGAACAAGTCATGTTTGACAGAACTTCCGTACAGATAAAATCAACATCATATCGATTGTCTCTTATTTTATATCTTCTTTGACAAAACAATGAATTTATTTTTATATTTCAATAAAAAAAATGACAAACTTATTTTTTGCAATTGACGCCTGACTTATTATGTCTAAATTTTGACTCAAGTTTTAATTTGATGAAGTTTTTGATAATTATAATTTGAGATGTTCCGTTTACTTTTAGAAAAGAAACTTGAAAAACAATAAAATTTTTCGATTTTATTGTTTTTGTATTGTATTTATTTTTTTAGAATTAACATATTTTTGTAGAAATAATATACATAAGTATTTACAATGTCAAGTCGAGCTGCTAAAAAGGAAGTGGTAAGACTTTGAAATTCAAATATTTCGTGGGAAAAATTACTTGGTAAACATTGTACAATGATATACAAATATGTGGTAAAGCTTATTTTTTTTCGACTAATCTTAATTCAAAAACATTATACTGCATGTATAGGATCCCGAAGAACAATTTAAGCGCAAATTTCGGGCCAAATGCTTATTCCGTGCACTCGGTCGTTTGGTGATGGCCAATGCATACTGGCTGATAGAAGCAGTAGACCACTACGAGGGTCTGGAAGATGTAAAGCGTAGAGTAGAACAGGCTGTTCGTGCCAAATCTAAAAAGAAGCAATTGTTAAGTATAAATGTAAGAGACATAAAAAAAACCGGAATTTTAATTTTCCTTTTCATGACAATTTAATACATTAAGGTCTACTTAAACTAACACCTTCCGATTTACTGCACCATCCATACACAATAAGCGGATATTCGTTTCTAAATCCAGCCTTTTGCCCAGAAACCTTGCCTTCTTCGCGGATCTGTTAACTATTTTGTAATGTTGGTGTTGTTGGTTTGATTATTAGGACAAAGGTTTGTTAAATAAACCGGCTGACGAGAGGACGGACGACGAAAAGAAATATTTATTCCGTATCATTGGCGGATTGAAATGTTTTAAACGATATCCTAATGTAAGTTCATATGCAGTAGTCTAGAACCTTAGAATTCAGCACTAAGAGTACTTATTCTTTTTAATAAAAACCTTGCCACGATGTTTCAGAAACTTAACCTACCCCTGATCCTAAATTTCTTCATCTCTCATTCAAGTCATTTCAGAACTTTGACAGGAAATTTGCTCCTTAATAGTTAATTGTCATGTACAGCATGTGAAAAAGAAGCTAGCAGCAGCGACGTACTACAAGTACTATGGTCCGGGACGTACTATAGTACGTCAGCATCACGAGGCACATGCTATGTACTTCATCGTGAGTGGCGATGTAGTCGTCACGCAGAATATCTTCGACGAGCTGCTTCAAAAGCACTTGTCAGTGGAGGTCGGCTCTATGCACACCGGCGACATGTTCGGAGAGGTTTCACTCCTGCATAACATCAAGAGAACTGCAACCGTTACTACTGTTGGTAATTGCGAGAAGAATTCCCATTTTGTTGTTTTTTTTTTGGTTTTAAAAACAATTGTAACGATATTCTTATTAGCAGACATAATATTAACAGGAAGCTTATTAATAAGTTTTTAGCAGTTAGATTTAACCTTATCTTACAATGTTAGAAAATGATCACAATGGATGGAATTTATCCAAAAGATTAACTAATCAAAACGAGATGAGATAAATCTGCCACGCGATATAATGTGACAACAAACACTGATTAACAAGAAGTTTCGCATTTTGTTATCGTTATCGATCAAACTTTGGGCGTAGGTTAGCAACAAAATATTTGTATACGTTTTTAGTTCCATACAGTATACGTAAGCGGATATACGGCATTGAGATTGCGGAAGTTCTTTGTTCATTGTTCAGAATAAATTTGATGCTTAGATCACTGCGAGCTTTTGGTGCTAATGAAAGACGACTTCAAAAATGTTCTCCAAGCGTCCGTACAGAAGCAATGGGACGAGGTGCAGCGAGCGATGTCCGCTTTTACCTACTTCGACGCTTTGGATGAGGTGAATTTGTTACATTAAGCGAAACTTTTAAGATTTTTTATTGAAGCACTAGGTGATCATAAACGGTATGGGCATGTAAATATTTTTCCAGGTGGCGCGTCGTGAAGGTTGTATTGTAGCTAAAATGAAATCTTACGAACCCAACGAGACGGTGCTCGGTGACGGCGTGGGCGTGCCGAACTTTGTCTACTTCATCCTGTCGGGCCGCTGCCAGATGATAGAGTCCATACAAGTTACTGTCGTCACACATCTCGGCAAGAACTACTACACGCTCTATGACCCTTATGTTTGTATCTGTGACCTGTTACAGTTTTACTTACAATTTTTCTAATTTTTTCTAATTAGAAACAAATTAGTTGCTTGTTAACACTCTGATATTGTACTGTTTTATATAGTACCACGTATTTAGAATAACCTTAATAACAGTTAATTTTAATTTGTAGGTACCACCCGAGGAAAGCGAGCAAGATTTGGATGCAAAATATTTTGGAGCGTACAATAAAATGAGTAAGAACAGCGATGCAAAGGAAGATGCTTCAATCGATAAAGAACAATCGACGGCGAAACATTTGATACACATCGCAGAAACATCTACAAGTATGGGAAGTTCTTCTAAGAAGAAGTCTAGTATTTTAAAGCCGGATAGCGGACAAGCATCCGTCGAATATGAGGAAGGAATACGGCGTAGCACTGAAAGTAGTCGTATTCGACATACTGGCTCTGATTCTACTACTAAAGAAAATGATCTTCTGAGGCCATCAGACCGCGGCGTCCGAGAGTCAATCAGGTAATTTTCGTGTTGTTTCCTTACCGTTGCTTGTCTAACATTTGCAATACTTTTTATATTTCACACCTATTTCTTTCTTTTTAATCATTTATTGTTTACATCACATTGCATGGTGGTGTATCAGAAATTCGTGGGCAACAGCAATGTAGCTTTAATATGGAATGTTTTTTTTTTTTAATTTAATCTATTTAAACAATGGGGTTCTTGGTATTTTACTGATGTTTATTCTATTTTGTCGTTATTATTTTCAGATTAAGCGTTGTACCCGAAATTATCCGTCTTCCACCCAAAAGTGTTCGCACTCATTTCATGCAGGTATTTAACATTACATTTTTTGTTATACTTAATATTTTCCTTTCTGAATATTGGAATGATAATGGTGTTTATTTCAGGTGTGCCAGTTTAATCCAGGGTCCAGCTTCGGTTTTGGTGAGAACATGCGAGACCGTCGCATCATCGCGCTGACGCCGGTGGACTGCATGCTGCTGCCCAGTATCTGGCTGCTGCAGAGGAACACGGCTAACATCTGGTCTCGTATACAACATTTTCTAGAAAAGAAAGTGAGTAGAATGAGCTTGCTTTAAGGAGGAAGGCATTTTTTACAGAAAGAAATTTAGGTTTGCTATTTTTTTTTCAGATCCCAACAAAAAAGCAGCTATTCAAGGAGTTTGTGTCCGCGCGCCGCTGGGAGGAGTTCCGCGAGCAGACCGTCGCGGATGTGATCTCTCGGACCCATACTGTCAACTGGACCACTGTGCATGACGTGCCTTATTCTATACGCATCGAAGAGATGAAAGATATATGAAAAAATAAAATTTAGTGTAATATTTTAAATAAATAAGTAATCACATTATTCCTTCTTTTTATTTATGTATTGAGAGAAGAATGAAACTGAACTAGTTTTCTATGATTGATTTATCTTTTGTTTTAATTCGTAGTTAATAATATTCCTCTTCTTGAGATGCCCCTTTGACCAGTAGGAATAGAGATGAGGACTTGATGTGAAACAACTGGCGGCGCCATGAACAGTCCACACTTAAATAGCAATGTTTTAGTTCTGTACCAAACCTCTGCAAGCTTTTTTCATCAAGACGAATTGAAGATCGTAATATGGCAAATGCTGGCAACTATTAATAATAATATTTAAATATCAATTCTTAACATGAAGATGACATGAAACATGAAAACAGTTTGATGAGCTTAATTTTATAATCTGTCAAATTATGTCAGTATAAAAATGACCAAGTGACTTAAGTTTGAATTTTGTGTAATTTTTAACTATTTTTGCTCTAGATTTAGATCGTAACTCTTGAAGAAACAGTTTGAATAAGCGAGAGAATATTAAGATTATAATTATTATTTATTTTATCAGATACTCCTCTGAATATCACCCAAACAACAATGTTGAGTCGAACTAGAATGAAAGGGGGCAAAAAAGAAATAGTGAGATTTCAAACATTTCTTTAGTTACTTCCAATTGGTTACAAATCCAAACTTTGTGTCTTCCAATTGCAATCTAGTTTAAGCCTAATAAGAAATGGTAGACAAGATATGGTTGATCCCTACAAGACGTAATTAGGCTTTTTTCAGTTATGCTCTCGTTCATCTCACTAAAGGACAAGGAAATATATCTGCAACAAATAATTTAAAGCATAATCATGTTAACTATGGCTATAAGTATCGATTACTCTGCTGTTTAGCGATATCATTCGGCTGCTTGCTCATTTGTCATCTTTTGTTATAAAACAATGATTAGTAATCCCACTTGCATAATCAATTTAAAATCAGGATCCTGAAGAACTCATGAGGCGCAAATTTCGGGCAAAATGCATGTTCCGCGCACTTGGCCGTATGGTAATGGCGAACGCATACTGGCTGATAGAAGGAATAGACGAATACGAGGGACTAGAAGATGTGAAGCGTAGAGTAGAACAGGCTGTTCGAGGCAAATCTAAAAAGAAGCAGCTATTAAGTATAAACGTGAGAGTCAATCATCTTACTGGTTACTGGATACCTTCTTACCATAATTCTGTTCAAAAATTAAAAATCATGATCAACTTCATTACCTTGCCTTAGTTTGATAAACAAGATAAATCAAGCGGTGCATTACTCCATTTGGAACGAATGTTTCCGCTCTTAATTTTACACACTCGGTTATTTTGTTTGGATTATAGGACAAAGCTTTGTTAAATAAAGCAGCCCACGAAAGAACAGAAGCTGAAAGGAAATATTTATATCGAATTATTGGAGGTCTAAAATGTTTCAAGCGTTATCCTAACGTGAGTTATCTAATATTGAGTATAACCAATCAATTGGTGGTTTCATATGCATTTTATTGATCTCTAATACCCTAATCACTTTTCTCGTTTGATGGTTGCATTCCCGCAAATAATAGCATGTGAAAAAGAAGTTAGCTGCAGTGACATACTACAAGTACTATGGTCCGGGACGAACTATAGTACGTCAGCAGCAAGAGGCACATGCGATGTATTTCATCGTAAGTGGCGATGTAGTCGTCACGCAGATGATCTTCGACGAGCTGCTTCAGAAGCACGTGTCAGTGGAGGTCGGCTCTATGCACACCGGCGACATGTTTGGAGAAGTATCACTCCTGCATAACATCAAGAGAACTGCAACCGTTACTACTGTTGGTAATATCAGGAAGGATCTAGTTATAATAGTTAGAATGGTCATCTTCTCATTGATAATGACGTTAGTAGTTAGTAATGTAATGAAATTTGGTAAAGAAAGGTTGTTTATCTTTGTTTCTGTGTATTGGTAGCGATAGTGCTTATGGAGTGGGTGGAAAAGTGTTTTGTTTATTTTCCCAAGTTAATTTATTTAGATCACTGCGAGTTGCTGCTGCTAATAAGGGAGGACTTTAAAAATGTTTTACAAGCGTCCGTGCAGAAACAATGGGACGAAGTCCAGAACGCAATGTCTGCATTTACTTACTTCGATGCTTTCGATGAGGTGATTTTGGCTAAAGTTGTCTTATTGATTACGTTTAAGGATTTTAATAAAAATATTCTAAAGGCATAAATATATAGATACAATATGAAAATTTAATAGTTAACACAATTGGTTATAATATGATTGTAGGTGTCGCGTCGCGATGGCTGCATTGTAGCGAAAATGAAATCGTATGAAGCAAATGAGACTGTGCTCGGTGACGGGGTGGGCGTGCCTAACTTCGTCTACTTCATCCTCTCGGGCCAATGCCAGATGATAGAGTCCATTCAAGTGACGGTCGAGACACATCTCGGAAAGAATTACTACAAGCTTTACGACCCCTATGTATGTACTTGTTTATTTTTTGTCCAAAAAGTAACGATCTCACATTAACTACTACTTCTTGGAAATGACGAGTCAAGAGCTGACTATGAGATTTAAAATAGTAAACCTAAGCAATTAGAATGTCTATTATAATTTATAAAAAATGTGATTTTTAGTGCATACTGGACATTAATCTGATGGAAATTTGAATATACAATATTTTACAATGCAAAAGGGATACATTTTTAACATATTCCGATTATTTAAGGTTGAAGAGATTTATTTATGTTCAATAAAATATTCACTTGCAGGTACCACCTAAGGAAAGTGAGCAAGATTTGGATACCAAATATTTTGGGGCGTATCAAAACAAGAGTAAGGACAGCGATGTGAAGGAAGAAATTTCGATTGGTAAAGTACAATCTTCAGCAAAACACTCAATACACCTCGCTGAAACGTCAACAAGCATAGCAGGTTCTTATAAGAAAAAGTCAAGCATTTTAAAGCCGGATAGCGGACCTGAGTCTGTTGAATATGAAGAAGGGATACGGCATAGTACCGAAAGCAGTCGTCTCCTTGTTCATAGCCAAACCGGCTCTGATTCTGGGATTAAGGAAAAGGATCTCTTAAAACCAGCAGAGCAAGGCTTTCGGGAATCAATAAGGTTTGCTATTTTCTTGAGCATGCATCGTATGAGTCGGGCATAAAAAGAATGTCTTACGTAGTTTATAAGGAGGTAGGCTCAAACTGTTTATTCAATATTGTCATTATAAATTACAGATTAAGTGTTGTTCCTGAAATAGTACGTCAAACGCCAAAAAATATCCGCACCTATTTCATGCAGGTATACTTTTGTAGTTTGTTTAGGTAGCGAAAGAGTTATTATGGTACTATAAAAGTGTATCGGTATTTATTTCAGGTGTGTCAGTTTAACCCAGGGTCGACTTTCGGGTTTGGTGAGAACATGCGAGACCGTCGCATCATCGCGCTAACGCAAATGGACTGCATGCTTTTGCCCAGCATCTGGCTGATGCAGAGAAACGCCGCCAACATATGGTCTCGCATAAAACATTATCTCGATAAGAAAGTGAGTGCAATTACAAACGTTGATTATTTCTGCTCCCGTCTTAAATGTTGTAAGAATCATTGTCTGTGTGATTTGTCTTAATAGTAATTATTAAAACAGGTTTCTTTTTTTATTACATTAGCTCAATTTTTTTTTTGCACTAAAATAGCATGTAATTCCTAAAAAAAGTAATATCCTCTTTTTGTCACAATAAATCGTATTGGGCGTAAGGAAAGTCGTAGGCTGTCACCATATTAGGCCCGCGCTTCGCGTTATGTTCAAATTGTGCACACGTGGGCGAGACGGAAAGCAATGACCGTGATTATTTTACTACAGTAAATAACAAAATTGGTTAACAACTTCAGGTATACAGTTAAAAAATAACTAAAGATAGACTAGCTTTTATTATTCGTTATCCTTCGCTAGATGGCGCTGTAAAAAGGTAATATTTTCACGGCTTTTTTTTAAAGATTCCTTCGAAGAAGCAGCTATTTAAAGAGTTTGTGTCCACGCGCCGCTGGGAGACTTACCGCGAACAGATCGTCTCGGATGTGGTCTCCCGGACCAACACGGTTAACTGGACCACGGTGCACGATGTGCCCTACTCTATACGCATCGAGGAGATGACGGATGTATAAGCATTTTATTATTTTATGTAAGGCGTATTTTAAATAAATAAGTAAACGGGATTTTTTGTTTTTCTTTTTCATTTTTACGGCCTTATGTTTCTCGCCACTTCGTTCGCGTGAAATAACAAAAAAATATGTCTAAATTATCTACCCTCAACTAACCCAGTTACATATCTGTCATTTTTTTTATTAGTTTTTATTTTACATACACTTCAATTTTAATGATTTCACTTCAAAATTATTCAGACTAAAGACTATATTTTTTTAAAACCAACCAAACCAATTGAGAAAAAGTGAATTTCGCTGGATCTATACGGTGTATATTTTTAGGTTCAACTTTACAATTCCCATTACATATTGTCCAGTATTTAGGTCTTAACACACGTACGTTCATGTTAGTGGAAGCCCACGATGTTTTCGTTGACAAACTACAGGTGAATACTAAATGCAGTTAGTACCTATTTCATTGCTACGTCCACATGAAGATTAATGTCATGTCAGTTCTCAAGAAAACCTACGCTTAGACTAAAATGTTTACGCATGCTCAACGCAGTCATTTAGAGAGAATTATTCAAATAGGAATAAAACAAGTCTGAGAATGGGTTGCGATGCTTTGCATTACATTAACAGTTGTTATTCTGTTACAGAAAGTAGCAGTAATTATTGATTAAGATAATTTAAGACAATAAATAAACAAGAAGAATTCATCATCATCACCACCAGCTCACTTTACGTCCCCACTGAGGGGCTCGGAGCCTACCCTAATAAGGGATGACTAGGCCATAGTCAAACACGCAGGCCCAGTGCGGGTTGGTTGACTTCACACATGTCTTTGAATTTTTTCGTCGACATATGCAGGTTTCCTAACGATGTTTTCCTTAACCGTAAGAACGTCGGATAAATTATGTACCTATGAAAATTCGAATAAATCGAAAATCACGTTGGTACATGGCGAAATTCGAAACCAAGACCTATGTAGATAACAAGTCAAGTGCTTAAACCACTTAGCCACCGACCCTCAGCACTGAGCCACCGACGCGCCTTAAGAAGAATTAGATAAGGAAAACCAACGGATCATATGGAGATGCAATACAGTTAAAGCTCTATAGTAAAAGCTGGCGATCATGCAACTTGTATGTGTTAATAACTAGTTACTATTTGTGCCTATCTCACATTCATCTGGATAATTATCCAACACGGCCATCACTAGCAAACGCTTTACATGGACATCCCTATTTCAACCAAACCATTTTTTCACACCCTTGCACTTTGTCTATTTTTCAAGTGATTGTCAATCCATCCAAATTGTAGTAATTAAACATACCTCAAGCTAAGTACCGGAGTTTCATTATGTCCACATATAACGACGCATAAATAGTTATAATAGGAATTAGAGTTACAGTATATTTCAGAGGATATTATTAAAACGAATATCAATTAACTATGCCGACAAATAAATCAGAATCTCAGTGATGCTATCTGTTAGTATTCGGGCACTCGCAAAAATGATTAATAAATTGCCGACCTCACTTCAATCATAAAGGAGTAATTGTTACATTGTAAGGTGAGCTGGCGCATGCGGAAGTAATATTAATGTGGGTAGTTCAGCATTGCAGAAGGTAACTTACCTAATGAAGCAAAAGTTTTTACATCGAAATGCAGTAGATTAGGATTTCCAAAATTATATCAATGATTTGTTTTCCGAGATCTGGAATCAAAAACATTTACGGATATCGGTACAATTGTTTGATCTTCTCAAATAACATATCTTGTTTGTACAAGCGCAAGAAACGATAAGTCAATGTCATTTTAGTTATGCCAAGGTCATTCTTATTGCAAATATATGCCCGGAGATATCTAAAAAGGTTTTTTTTTCAACAGAATTTCTTAATGGAATGCGTCTTAGAAACACACGATAAAAGAAGGGTAATTAAAATTGATATAAGTTCAATAATAGGAAGAGAAATCAAAGCACGCGATGACGCCATTATAATCGAGTAACCAAGACAACTGGTTTTTGGCGGGAAGCGCCCACGCGACATCAGCCTCTTCTAATAGCGAAGCAAACAAACAAATAGCAAAATAGTCGGGCATTCGTCCGCAGTGCACCGCGCGACGCGACGCACAACGACGGCTTGCCTGATCGAAAATACGCGAAACTTAACTTATAATATAAACAAATAACAATTATTTATACAAAGATATATTTTCATTATTTGTTATTCATAATAATTGGATTATCAACAATTATCAACTGGAATTTGCATAATTTTATTGGTGAGTGGACGCATGAAAGTACCTTTATTTATTTTAATGGCAATAATTTTTTATAACATTACGTCATTACTGTTTTGCACAGAATAGCCGTATGAAAAGAATGAGGATCGAACGTGATTTTTATTATGTACAAATACGATTTTTTTACATTAAAAAGTAATTAAAAATCCAACTTGGCTATAAGTTAAGTTGATATAAGCTATGACGTGTTAGATAAACAAAAAAATAGGATACGTAATGACGTCATTCGTAAAATAATTTATCGCGTTATAAATGTCATATGGGGATATAACGCTTTAGGTGTAAAATAGAAACAGCCTTGCTGCATTACGAGCGTTGAAAATTACGAAATGACAATGTAAATATTCTTTTTTAGTAAAGATGGTCGTATCTTTCGTAACTCTAAGCATATAAGTGCCTAAGTTAGAAATTGTATTGTCGAGTATTTATTTAAAGGTTTAATTGAATTAAATTTCCAAAAATGGACTAAAGGATGTTATAAGACAAGGAATATAATATTACATTGTGAAATCATAATGTCAATATTTTATACCTAATAATTAATAATTATACATCCTGCTTTTCCATAAGTATTATGAAAAAGTCGTTAAATCCAAACATTCTAGATCGTCATGAATAAATATAACAAGAAAGGCATATGTGTGACAGTTTTATAGTTTAGGCTTAGTCAATATCGTGGGAAGAAGTTTATATACTTTCTGACACGACTGTTGGTCTTTATTAGGACTATAAATGCCTTGTTTATGAGATCTACTTTAACCACCCACAGACGTAAATAGGTTGATAGGCTTACCTCATTAGGTATCTACTGGGAATGAGAGTCACAAAACATTAAAGACTAGGACCGTTTAACTCAGCGTTGAAATAAAGTGAAAAAACGCAAATATATTGGAATAATACAAGTTACGTTACGCAAAGTTAAGTGAACAATTTTTGGATGGAAAACCTGAATAGAAGCGTATGGCACCTAAAAAGCAATCAGCAAGCTATACTTTTTCTATCTATAGAAAACCGAAAAATTCTCATAAATATTGTACTTCTATAATTGTTTTATGAAGGCAAATTAGAAATTGATCACTAACAATCTGCAAAAATGTTATTCATGTGTAATATTAAATTATGCGTACAAAAATGTTATTTTAAAGTTTGAGTAAAATTATTTTACCCTACTACCAACTAGAACACTTTGTCATGTTCTTGACTAAAATTAATATCGCTTGTATGCTCGTGTCACAGTTTTCTTCAATTGACTGTGATTTCGGACGGTTTATTTGATTCTTCAATAGAATACAACGAGCAGGCTAGACTGGCAATTAATTATTTCGTGAAATACTTTATTCTATGTACTTCTATCTGTGAACGTACTTATAGTCTGAAGGTCAGTCAAGTCATTGAGAACAATTAGCTATTGACCCGTTATCTACTAGCTGTCAATAAATTTAATTAATATTTCTTAAGTGCCTTTATTCATACACATTACTGCATATTAAATTACAGTGGACGAATAATTGTCTAGACTATAGACGAATATTTTTCCTTTGGTAAAACTTCGCATGTTCACGTATATTAGATATCTAATCTATAGTTGTCTATATCAATGCTATATTTTTAAATTTCACGTGGATGAAGTCGCGAGGAACAGCCAGTAACTTATAATGCATTTTTGCGCTTTTGATCATTCTATCGAAAAGGTGAAAGGTTAATAGGAGCGTTGGAGTGGCATCGTCTGTCTGTTCGTTTCGCGAAGGGGATCGGGAAAGGCTGCTATGAAACGAGTGGCCCAAATACGATTTTATTCATTTTTCACGATGACAGCGACTTGCACGGCCTGGCACTGAATTAACTTTTCTTTCAGGCTCAATGACAAACGTGATATTTTTACAATATGTTGTTGACATCATATCATATACTAATAATGACATTTTTATAATTAGCTACATTTTATATAGTATTTTATTTATATCTGTTATTTATTTGGTAAAGGTATTCCTTATTTTTAAAACCGATATTAAAAATCTAGTTTTTCCAGATTGAATTCTAACAGACTGTATCTTTTTTTGGCAAGCAGACAAAATAACGATAAAAATCGCATACATTACAACAATTGTACTCACAATGGGTCGTATTTTAGTAATAAATCAAATTAAATTTCCGTCATCTATGAACTTGTGTGTGGGTGTTTGACTGTTAATGTTCGAGCTTGTAGAGCAAGTTTCTACGTCAATTAATAATGCAAATACGTTTATGTTATCAATTATAACCATCATTATTGTCTACAAAAACGAACCAGTTTGTTTTAATATTTGCTTTTTAATGCACCAAAAAAAGAATTGCATTTCATCAAAAGTTATATGACATTCGCGTGACTTCATGTTTTAGTTCTATTAAAATTTAACAAATACTTGCATTATTTCCAAATAACTTAACTTGGGTTTAATACTGACACGAGATGCTTTTTAAACAACACGATAGAATATAATTTATTTCAAGCTTAAGGTCATAGACCTATGTACAGATAAGTAACCGTTAATTTTTTTAGTGATTTACTGAACAGGTATCTTTTAATTCATACCCAAGTGTAATTAAGGTTCATCTCCGAGAATGACGGGTTCCCGAGGGTATGTTTTCTAATACCACGCGGACGAAGTCGCGGGCAACAGCTAGTATCCATATATTTGTATTAAAAAGTCAAAAATTGTAAGATACAACGTTAATCAATAGCGAATAAAATGTATAAAATAGCTTCCGTTATACTAACATTGCAAGTTCACCTTCAGATAAGTTAAATGTTTCCGCAAAAATGCAAGCGCCGGAAAGCCATTAAGGTAAACTGCAGAAATTAAACCATTTTAAGCACGACTGCATGCAAAAAAAATAACTGCATGATTTTTTTAATAAATTAATTTCTCATGTTACTATTCAGATTTGGGAATTAGTATAAAGAAAAAAATAACTAGAATTTTATTATGTTTGAATTCTATCAAATTGCGGTGTCTTTTTAAGTTGGGTATGTTACATGTCCCCGCAATATTTTAATCACTGCTTACACCAATAACAAACGATGCCTTGAAGATATTCAAGCGTCTTACAATAATAATTTAAAATTAAAGGTGCGCAAAACTACCAAAATAGTAATGACGCCATTTCAATGAAGCATATTTCGTATTTGACCTATAAACCGACAAAATCTATAGCAACGTATGTAAAAGATTTATTCTTTATTAGGCATACGCATCTCCATATTGTTCGGGTTACTTTTTGTTTACCATTTAAGCAGACAATTTATGTACAAGTTAAATCGTTCGTAAGGTCAACGTTATTCATCGATGGCATTGAAATGTATGATGTATTACGTTTTGATCATTGTTTAATTATAGACATTACTGCACTTATTTTCGAATATGTTATACTAATATTGTAAATGGGAAAGTTTAGGTGGATGGATGTTTATTAGAGTTTGTAGCCTAAACGCCTCAACGGATTACGATGAAATTTGGTATAGATGTAGAGGATAGTCTGGAAGAACACATAGGCTACTCACTTTTGTTTTTTTTTTTAATTCCACGCGGACGGAGTTGCGGGCGAAAGCTAGTATTGAATACATTTATTCAATAAAAGCAATTGGAAAAGCTTATGGACATACACAGGTCTGATGATGATTCAATCACAGATTTATAGTGTTTTTCAAATATCTTAGCAGACTAAAGTCAGCGCTACGCAGCCCTCCCAAGGATAAGATAATTTGAAAAACTAACGTTATACCACAGCGATTGCACCTTCGCGAGTTGTTTTATAACTGGCAGTAAATAAAGCACGATAATATCTTAAATGTCAAACTTAACACTATTTTGACATAAATCACAAGACTCAAAAAACAGAAAACGTATTTCGTAACTTGTTAAAGAATTTATATTTTCATACAGCTGATTTTACAGTTTACATTTCGTTAATAAGGATACCTAGTTATTTAGATATATAAAATGTCCGTCCGACAAATACCATCTTTACGGTCGGCGAAGGTAATCAAATCGGCGATGAGTCAAACTAGATCGGTAGATATGCTTTTTTGTTTATTTAATTTTTTACTCCATCGTTTTTTCATTTAGCCATCACTGAAATGTATGAGCTGAAACAAATTTTACCTAGTTCAATTCTTACGGTCCTTTTGTAATTAAGTAGTTTTTTTAAGTTAGATTTGAATATTGTAAACTATTCTTAAACACGATCTTTGAGGTTATTAAAGGATAAAAAGGTAAACTTCTCATGTAGTACAAGAAAGGTTGAAAGGTAAACTCAAATAGAAGTGGATTAGAATTATTCATAAATTATTATTATGCCAAATATCTTGCAAAATGATTTTGTCGTACAAAGCTCTTGCAAGATATTTGACATTCCTACGACTGGCAAGTGACCATATAGCAAGTTTTTATGCAATAGTATGCAATGTTCGCATACTTGTGTAGGCCTTAAAACAACTTTTTACAACCTACTTTTTACTATGTTACTTAAATTGCAATTCTCCAGTAATTGGTAGTGCTTAAAATTTTGGTTGCTTAATCCTAACTTAAGGCGAGCTTTCGATAAACCAACTGATTAGATCCTACAACTACATTTGTATGTTAAACGGCCATAAATAATTCAATTCTACAAACTTTTAACAATTCATGTTCCCCAAATTTCCGCCCAATTTAGGGTAATTAAAAAGTTTTGTTGAACTAATTACTATTGGACCCAACGTGTTTGAAGTTATTTAACGTTAGCAACTGTAATTTAAATTAAATATTCTTCAAGAACGCAAAAGCATAATGGTGTTATGTATAAACCTAAATTTTCTTGTGTTATGTTTTTGCTGCATTTCTAATGATATTAGAATTAATATGACTAATTGATCGAAATAAGTATTATTTGGCCTTAATGGATTTTAAATTACAAGCATCAATGCAATAGGATTTTATGTTTAAAACTTGTCTTGATGTGATGAAGGATTTTTAACCATAATGTATAATTTCCAGAGTTTGGGAATTCGACGTACGAACATACCTACAACAACAACGTTGTCTAAGAACTACTTCTCTTGTTCATCGATGGGTGTGCGCCAGAACCCGTGGACCCCAACCAAGCGCCGAGGACCCATCGCCGCAGAGGCAGCCAGCCCGGGTCCGGCTGTCGTATCCCTGCCCTCACTTATAGGTATATTATTGTTGTTTTCTATAGAATTCTCTTACAATAAATTAAATAAAACTGTAGATTAGTCCAAGTATATACGTACTTTCAAATTTATGCAATAAATCTAAAATAGCTTCAGATATATAAATTAATAATTTCTTGAGTCTAATCAAAAGTAAAATATATAGCCACGTCTTAGTACAATACGTGTCAAATAGTTATATGGAATTTTCGTTTTTGCTTTATAAACAACATGCGATGTAAAATTTGGTTTGCTAATAAGTCAGCTTGTGATGTATGGATTTGGGCGAGGTGGTCGCGATTCGCAAGTAGCGCTGACATCATGCGGAGGTTGCGAGATTATCGCGTTCGCGGCCTCGCTCGCGTTAAGACCGTCTGTGACATCATTACGCTAAACATTCAGTACTTGTTTTTCTCGTTTCAAACGACGCAGTCGCATACAACATTGAACATCGTAATACATTTTACTCCGTAAACTCAGTTATTAAATCCCTTGAAGTATATCAGTATCTTTAACTGGTACTGTCTCGTGAAGTGTCAATTAATTCATGTTCGGCTGCCATCTGGACTGTGTGGGCGCCGCTGACCTTCATAAGGTTAGCTCGATGTTGTTTTCTTGCTCGAAATGTTTACCTGTGTTATGCCAAAACAATATTTGATAATACTTTTTTAAGTATTTTTTTCCTATATGTTTTGTTTGTTTCTCACTAATAACATTCTACTAATTGTATAGGTTATCAATACAATTTAGTAAGTTAAATTATTATTTTATCCACGGCCATTACTGAATAGATTAGAGCTATTGTTTTTCAAGCCAGTTTAATTTATCATGTGGTTAATATATTTTAACGATAGAGGCATAAGGTATTGTATTTTTGTTGCTATTTTTTTTAATTCACATGACATTTAAGTTTAGCATTCTGCGTTTTAAGTATCATCGATGGATTATTTAGTATTTTTATTGTTGTGTGTCAACTGTTGGTATAATTTTCATACGTTGCAGGTAAACCACCTCCGGAGTCCCGCAAGCCAAGAGCACCGGCTTTTACTTTCGGACACAAGTTGGATCTCACGCTCACAGGACAGGCTGGTCCAGGACCTGCCTCCTACAATACTGAAGGAATGACAGCTAAAGGTTCGTACAACTGATACAATGCTAAATCCTACAAAATATATGGAAGAGTTTGCGTTACCAGATGACATTGTCGAAATCAGAAGGACTAAGGAGTATCTTTTTGCCTTGCTTAATCCTACGATTTGTACCTATGAAGAGTTAGTTTTTTATGTTTAAAAAACTGTCTAAAGAATGATTTGGTTATTAGTGAGTTATGGGATGTATTAGTATTTCTCAAGTAGAGATGACCTGTGCTGCATTCGACTTGATGTTATTATTATTTTATAATTTAATCGCCGGGTTTTTAATGTTTGTTTAACTTTCACACTGCATGATAGTGAAAACCCGTGTGCAAAATAATAATCTCCGCTGTTTGTAAACATGCAGTTTAACCTTTCTTATCTTAGCAGTGAATAAGTAAATTATAAATAACCTTTGTTTTCCCTTATGGGTAGAGGAGTGATGTCCAAACTAATGACGTTCCCTTTGTAATGGAAAACCAGAAAAAAATTAATAACTAACTACACAAACTACATTAGTAACTACCGAAAATGTATTAATTGTAAGATAATTTTAATTGCAAACAGTAACGTTTTTCAGTTATCAATGGTTCTTAAGTTTAAGAGCTTTACTTTATGAACATTTTATATGAATCTTATTAACTAATATATAGTTAAGGAACTACAGTTATGAAATATTGGCTGAGTCGTATTTATATGTAGAATTAACAGCCATGTCACATGTTTAATAGAGCGAAGCTAAATCGATGTCTTCGTTTGGCATCGTTTAGAAATCGTTTGATCAAGACTCCATCTGAAAATTGGCTTGAACAAGATAATTGTAATTTATACGACGGACAATTGAACGAGTGCCGCCCACGGTTGTTATTTGTTGTGTTATAGAGACTACAGGCCGGTTAAAACCTTATGAGATTTGTTATAAAAATAAAACTGATCTGAAATCCAACTACCCGATTCGATTCTTTTATTGTGATAAATTAATTGTTTCTGCTTTTGTTTATTGAAGTCGATGTCGTTATTTCGTGTCTATAGAAATTCTAAACTAATGTGGTCACACCAACCTTCAATGGTTTTATTTCTACAATAAAATATTGTGACTAATTTTTTTTCCAGCACGATGACGTAATACGAATTTCTTAACAATAATTACATTACTTGACGAATATTTTTCATTGAAATTGATTGGTTTTTTGCGTAGTGACATTAAACGAAAACGTTTTTTAAAGTTATTAAGTTAACGTAAAAGTCAAGTAACAAGAGTTATTTTGTTAATAAAAAATCTAGATTTACTACGACAAGCCTCAGAAAGTTTACAGACTTGATCAGATGTTTGTCTAACGTTCCATATACGGATTGAATGAAGTGACAATTTACCACCACGGCTCAATGCCACTTAGCGTGGGTAGTCAGGATAATAATTTAATTGAGTAATTGCAGTGACAAGTGCAGGTGACGCTGCTGGGATACTTGCTTGATGTAACAGCTTTAACAGTTTTATTGTTGTTTGGGTTTTAATGTGAAAAATCAAATCCACCTGATGTGAAGAGTGTAAATATGTGTTAAAATATAATATGCGCTGTTACTCAGCTGTGAGTTCGTTATTGTCAGGCCTTATTCTCCATCTCTTCTTTCCTTTTTTAAAACCCTGATAACAACAGGTTTTTGCACATTTGTTTTGCCAGTTCAAATCGACCCAGAGTATGCTGAAACAAATTACTATTGACTATTTCTAATCACGCTCTTTGGTGTTAAAGACTGTTTTGTAAAGTAACGAATTGATATGAGAAATAACTTGTCAGCTTAGCTAGGTAAATGTGTCGTGACCTCGATTAGTATGTTGACAAATATTTCTGTAAGGGGTATACGTGTTTTCAAATGGGTCATGATTTCACTACGCCGTATAATTTGCATTAACGACGTCGCCCGCCGTATTTATACGTTTCTTCCTGTTCACTTGTTTAATGTTTGCCCGACTATTTAAATCGAAGTCATTTAAACTGTATAATCAGTTTTCTGTAAACTGTTTAGATATATTATATGTGACAGCGGTGAACATGACATGCATACACTTCCGCTGTTGATGCGGGGAAAAACATGAAATGTCCTAGCTTGGTTTTCTTTCCGGTTGTTATTGATGTGTGGTAAAAACTCGTAGATAATTTATACTTGATATTAGCTGATGACCCTAAAAGGACCTTATTTGTCTAACATTAACTTCAAACATGTGACAAACACAAAATTAAAAGTAAAAATACTGTGGGAATTCTACATATTTTAGTAAAGAAATAAAAGCAATATAGTTTTGCATGACCGTATTAGGTGAACGGATTAAGCATACGTTTTATAAAAATCGCTTTATAAAGATTTGTGTATTTTGGTTTAAGTAAAAGGAAGTAGGTTTATGTATACAATTATTAGTCAAGATTTAAATGTACAGCACTTACTGGGATAAGTTAAAGCTCTGACATTGGTCGATAAGTTCGACTCGCTGTGTTTGTTGTCGCCAAATAAGTCCGTGTGCACGAAGGTGATCTGGGATGAGTCACTTCGCGTAGGTGCCTGCGGAGCCTGGGAGGCGATATTCGATCGGAGCAGGCTCAGTCGCACATCCACGTCCATACAATTGCATCGTGCTTACTTCGTATTTGTGGATTAAATCTTGGAGTTTTGTTTGTGTTCAATTTTAGTGAAGCAACTTTGATCCGAGGTAGGATTTCAGTGACATAATTTTTGTTTCTCGTTTTAATTTTTATAGATGTTTTGTTGTAGCGAGTAACTAGCTAAAGCTTTGAAGATTACACGGGTAAAATTGCATTTCAAGTTTTGTAGATTGTAGGATTTATTTAGAGTGCACCTTGCACTACCTAAGGTCTAATTATTCTAAAAAATACATTTTAAAAAGAAGAAAACAGTATTAGATAGATATATATGTAATTTGAAACAATTATTTTCGTCATAAATGGAATAGTAATAGTAAAAAATGAATTGATTCGCAAGTTTGCAAATCGGGATATGAAATTTCTAAGCTCTAAGTCAAGTATGAAGATGTAATGATGTAGTATGTCAGGTCGTGCGTCGGTGCCCGCGGCGTCGCTGCACGGGCGGTGGCCGGCGCCGCGCGTGACCCCCACGCCAGCCCCTTGCGACTACGAGCCCAGTAAAGCCACTCGTCACGCGCCTGCATTCTCTATCGGTCTTCGAGTCAGTATGCCGCAGCCTGGTAGCCAGACCCCAGGTGCTAATGCTACAAGTCTCGTAGTGTCTTGCATCTCACTCATCGTGTAATGGTCTTGTTGCATTGTATCTGAAAAATCACAAAGTCTTATCGCTTTCATGTAATTGTATCTTGGTCTTTTAATTTTTGATGTATTGCCAATTTGCTTGCTTTTTGTTCGTCTCTTACTTTTTTTAAGTCCTTTAGTTTTTTTTTTTCATATTGGATCTAATTATCTTACACATGACTTGAATTTATCGCAACTTTCACTTACGTTGTATTTCAATCATTTTCAGTCGTTGTAGTTTCTACATTAGGCATTGACTTCTTCATATTATCTACTCCTTAAGTATTTTAATTTAGTTAGACATTTCATTTTATTGTTTGTGTTTTAGATTCTATATCCTGTTGATTGTCGATTTTTGTTTTTTTTTTTAATGTAGCTTCTACTGATTTTCATGATATCTGTCATGTTTCGAATTGTATGTTTGTATATTTCACTGTTATATATGCTATTTCATCGTTATCATATTTATCTCTTCATTTTCCAATATATTTGTTGTGACGAAAATAATCCTGAATACATAAATAATAGATTTTTAAATTTAACTTTTTCAGCACCTAACATCTATTCCATGCCTCCGGTTCTCGGGGAAGCGAAAGAGGGCAGTAAACGCGCAGCGCCCGCATTCAGCATAACCGGTCGAGGCAAAACTATCGAGAGCAAAACGCCCATGCCTGGTCCGGGTACATACACTACTGAAAAGGCAGCAGCAGTGCTTACAAAGAGACCACCCGCATACACCATGGCCCCAAGAAGAGAGGTCAAACAACCTTCTGCTTCAGTGCCTGGTCCCGATGTTTACTGTCCTGAAAAGGTAATTTATACTCGTACTTTTTTGGGCTTTTGCAACATTTTTACATCGACATTCTTCTCCGGACTTTTGAAGGCAAATAGTGTTTTTAAATCTTGGTTCATAACCTTGCTTTCTAGTTTATTTTTATAATGGTTAACGCATTAAATTCCTCCTAAATCCTGCCATCTTACTTGTATGCGTCCAATCATGTTCATGCTATTAATTAATTTTGACCTTTTCTTAAACTAAGTGGATGTTCTAACAATAGGTGTGCGTGAACCTTCCGTGGGCGCCTTCGCATACATTCGGTATACGTCACTCGCGCTACGCCGGTCAACCTGCATATCATCCTGCTCCAGAAGAAATACCAACAATTTAAACTTCCCTGTAACTAACAAAGTCCTAATACTTTCTGCTAAATTCATCAACATGTACTAATTCATAATATTAACAACTTTTAATGCTTTAATATGGCTTCGTCAATAGTAAATTTGTGAGCTTTATATTACGAAATGAAAATTCCTGACAGTTTCCAAGCTGCAATTATTACAAATCATCGAAAAAAAGGTACTTATATTCATTTTGTATAATTTCGTTAGTAGAAAATCTTAGATTATATTATCTTTTTACATTTGGGTAGTTTAATTTATGGTAAATGTTGTTTTTTTAATACTTTGTCTCAATATTTCAGGCCGATGTAATTCTTCGTGGAAAATCTCCAAAATATAGCCTCTCTGGTAAATTGAAAGTTGAAAAAATAGAACATTTACCGGCACCAAATGCCTATAACCCTGAAAAGGCCGATAGGGTATTGAGGGAAAAATCGCCCGCTTACTCGTTCCGAACAAAAACTGAAATCGTTAAAATACATGATGCCCCTGCGCCAAATGTATATTCACCTGAAAAGTCACTTAATATCCTTAAAAGTGGCCCCAAATATACATTAGCTGGTAAAGGAGCAGTAGAAAAGCATGAAGTAACACCAGCGCCAAACTCGTATAATCCACAGAAGGCTGATAAAATTTTGCACGAAAGTTCACCAGCATACAGCATGCGCACAAAGGAAATTGTGGAAAAAATTGTTCAAACTCCAGCTCCTAACGTTTATGCTCCGGAAAATTCAATGCATATGCTTAACGGTGGACCAAAATTTAGTATCTCTGGTAAAAATGGGTGCGTTAAAATTAGTGAAACCCCTGCTCCTAATAGTTATAGCCCTCAAAAAGCTGACAAAGTTCTACATGAATCGTCTCCATCGTATAGTTTCAGAATTAAGGAACAAAATGTTGTAAGAAGCGATTCCCCAGCGCCCAATGCATATGCGCCAGAGAATTGTATTAATATTTTAGATGCCGCACCTAAATATACAATGAGTGGAAAAGGACCATCAAGTAAAATTGAGGACCTACCAGGACCCAATGCATATTGTCCAGATAAAGCTGACAAGCTTTTGCATGAATCATCTCCGTCATATTCATTTCGCACAAAAGAACACTTAAAGAAAATTGAGAATACGCCAGCACCTAATGCTTATTCTCCAGAAAAATCCATAAATATTTTGGATAGCTCACCTAAGTTTACTATTAGTGGGAAAGGAGTAACACCAAAACAAGACAACATTCCTGCTCCAAACACTTATAGCTTAGACAAAGTCGATAAACTCTTATATGATTCCGCACCTTCATATAGTTTTAGACCGAAATCCTGTTTAGAAAAACCTAGTGATACACCAGCCCCTAATATGTATGATCCTCAATTACTAAATGGAACACCTAAGTTTAGTCTTTATGGGAAAGGCACTGATGCTAAGCCATTTGATACTCCAGGACCAAATGCATATGACCCCCATTTACCAGACGGAACTCCAAGATATACTATGGCAGGAAGAATTGTTCAAGAAAAATCTTCTGATGTTCCAGCACCTAATGCTTATAGCCCACATTTGCCTGAACAATCTCCGAAATATACTTTTACTGGTCGTCCAGCAGACGGAAAGCCATTAGATACTCCTGGTCCAACTAGTTACAATCCACATATTCCCAATAATTCTCTTAAATTCACTATGTCTGGCAAGGGATCAGAAGCAAAACCCTCTGATACTCCTGGACCTAACACTTATGACCCAAATCTACCATCCGGTACTCCCAAATTTACGATTTCGGGTAAAGGACAGCCAAACAAAGTAGTAGACACTCCTGGCCCCAATGCTTACTCTCCAGAAAAAGGAACCAATGCAATTTCGGAAAGTTCTCCCTCTTACACATTTAGAAGTAAACATCCCCTTCCTAAGTCCGTGGATACGCCAGCACCGAATTCCTACGATCCAAGTAAATATATTCATTTGGTAGATGGTGTACCTAAATATTCATTTGGGGTGAAAGGTCCAACAGAAAAACCGTCTTCTAATCCCGCGCCTAATGCATATAATCCTGAAAAAGCTGATAAAGTACTTCATGAACATTCACCTGCCTATACATTCCGTCCGAAGATTGAAAACAAGAAGATCAGTGATACTCCGGCCCCTAATGTGTATAACCCCGATAAAGCAGATAAAATTCTATTGGATAACGCTCCACGTTATTCATTCAGAATTAAGACAAATCCACCTAAGGCAGATAACATCCCAGCTCCAAATTCGTACAATCCTGATAAGGCAGATAAAGTGATGATGCCTAATGGGCCACAATATACTTTTAGGATTAAATCAGATACTATTAAAGTTCAGGATACACCCGGTTAGTATTAGTTTACATGTTTTTTTTTCTTATATTGCTCTAACCATGTCAATAAAACATTCTTTTTTTCTTTAAGCTCCCAATTCTTACAATATTCCAACAACCGTCCAAACTCCACTTTACACAATATCTGGTCGACACAAGGAACCTATAGATGAACGTTTGAAGGTCCCATCTCCTGGCACGTACAATCCAGAGAAGAGTTATAAATTTGTGTTAACATATTCGCCTCAATATACTTTTGGAGTCAAGATTCAAACAGATAAATATGCTGATTCGCCTGGTAAGTGAAAAAAAATATATATTGAATATCAAACGCGTCTAAGTAATTGTTCTAACCCTTTATTTTAATCTCTTGCAGCGCCCAATACGTACAGAATACCATCTGTATTGGATACTCCGGTATATACGCTTTCAGGACGTCATAAAATTCCCGTAGACGACCGCGCTCGTGTCCCCGCGCCTGGCACCTACTCCCCCGAAAAGGTAAATCACTAATGACATAAAATTCTTAATCAATATTTTGTGTATGTAAAAATAAATCAATCCACAAACGATGATCTATTTCGAGGCAACTGCTTTCTGTTGAATTTGTTCCGGTTTGTTAAATTCGTAGTTTTTTTTAAATATAATAATGGTTTGGTTGTTGATGTAGTTTCTGTTGAAGTTTTTGTTTAATAAATTTAGTAAAACACGAATTACAATTACTTTCCAGGTCCAGTTAAGTAAAACACCTCAGATAACGTTCGGAATTAAGCATTCTCCTCGCTTAGGTCAACTTAGGCCGATTACTCCGCAACAACAAACAGAAAATGACACAGCTAGAAATGTATCGAACGAGGAAGTGCGTGTAACGCGAACTCAAATCGTTTCGACGCCGAGATCAAATACCGGAAGTCCTCGGTACGAAACCCAAAACACAAACGAAAATATATCGAACAATAAAATATCGCAAAACTATGTCGACGACTCGAACGAATCAAGTATAAATGTTTATGATACTCGTACTCACGTAACTCACATAAGATCGCCCAGTGAAGCCAGGAGTACGACTGCGACACCAGAACCTGTCCAAGAAACACTCACTCAAGAGATTGTGTGGGTACCAGAAAAACCTATTCGCCGTGGTTCCTATACCATAGATACGTCTGATGGCAATGGAACCTTTGAAAGGTATAATAGAAATGAAGTCGTTCCCGTCGAAGGTGGAGTTGTACATCTGCATGAAAGTGGCGAGAGAGGAGGATCAAACACCAGTCAACATTACCAAGATCTGGTAGAAAGGGAAGGATATAAGCAAGTTACTGATAAAAGTGTCAGTAATACTAATGCTTTTGAAAAGAAGCAATCGGGTTCCCAAGAAGTTCGTACAAACACAGATGTACAACACTTACCTAACGGAGGAACGTCAACGACCACAACTACAACGACAGTCAAAAAAATCGGCACCGCCGCTAAAGCCGCCAGCTCAACAACTAATGTCACACGCACTAAGGTCGCTGTCACATCCCGTGATGTCGGTGCGAAGTAAGAAGTAACTGACTAATTTAATTTCCCATACATCATAAAAATACAGGGCTTAATGCAATTGCTTATAATCTTTAAAATCGCCTTATATCGAATGCTTATTTACGAGTTGAATTTTTAGATGTCTATAATTATGTTAAGAAATTCGTAGATCGTTTTTAATTTATTTAATAAATTATGGTTGTCATACTATTTCAAAATCACTTTTACTAATGTTATTAATTTGTCTAATGTAAAAATGTGATTTAATATATAATATTTTCTTTAGTATGTTGTTTTATTACTGTCTAATCAATTTGTATGTTTATAATAAACGTGTTTTCTTCTCCTTTGCACTAATAATTCAGTTGAAGCTCATTGCTTATGAAAACTTGTGTGGGATTGGTCCATGAAGAAATTGTGCATTTTATCTGATGTTTGTGCAAGGGCGTAGTTTTAGTATCGTGTCTCTTCCTATCCCAATAAGGAAAGAATGGGAAGGGAAAGTAGATTTGACGCATAAGAAAGGGAATAATAATCTTTCAGTGCCTCTTCTGTCGATTAAAGGCAGACATCACATCTGTCTGTGTGGAGCAGTGAGCCGCTTGTTCCTTTGCCACCAATGACGTAAGAAAAAGTCCTGTAATTGAAATCTACTTGATTACACTAACATAGTATTTTTTGTTTTCTCTTACTGAGATTCTTTCAAAAGCACGTTACTGCGAAAAGTGATTGTTTACTTTTCGCGAAAATGCTTGAACATTTTCCGCTTAAACTTTTTGATTGCCGACTGACTAAATTCGTTTATTACAGTGGAGCTTTTAATGGATCATCTCGATAAATATGTTTTGGTTTATGGTGCTGCAAAAAATACTCAATGGTCGAAGCTTATCACTTTATTGTTTTCCATTGTGCGTCTCCAGCTATTTTACGTCCTTAAATTGATTGTGTGTTTAAAAATAATACACAAATAGTATTTTGTTTTATTTATCGTTGGTACGTTTTTTCAATCATCGAAGCGGATGTTTATGCATGATAAGTCGAATGGAACGTTGAACAGGAAACGTGGCTTCTGGATAACTGGACACTCAACTGTTTTGCGCCTACGCGCCTCCCGCTGTGAAATCAATATAAAGCATGGCATATACATGTTTTAACATTGTTTTGCTCTTTAGTCGAACTATTAATACATTCGTATACTTGTACGCTATAAAACCACAAGTATTTAGTGGGTATAAGCGCAAGACCACAAACTGCGAAAGGTATTGGAGGAAGCCAGAATCTAACTAAGGATTGGTATAAGCTGATATTGGTAAATAGTCAACAGAACTAAGCTTTGAGGTGATAATGGCCTGGGATCTCGGAGTACTGGATAATTGTAAAATAAATAGTAATTAAATACCTAGTCATGTCCGTTTGTTTTTTTATTCATGAAAGCGTTTACTATTCTAAAAATCTAATACATTTTTTAAATGCATGCATTCGAAGATCAAAGTGTATAATAACTGGGCATGTGTTTACTAATGTATTTATTTTTAGAACTAACAGCTTGTTATTGTGTGGTTTTTACGTGTTTTTAAAGAGAACAGAATTATTAACAAGAATTATTTCATTCTACACTTTGTGAATTAAAAGGAAATAAAGTAACAAAACAATTTAAATTATACATTTGGTTGTTTTAACGGGTTTACCTCTAAACGAAGTTAAGAATGTATAAACTAAAAAAGATTGAATGCTTATTATTGAAAAGTAAAGGTACAGTGGTTAAAATTACATTTTAACTCCAGAAAATTGTAAGATTACTAAAACTAAAACATTATTAAAAGCTTTGAAAATATCTATAATATTTTTAATAACTTTAATCTTAATTGATTGACCTATTAATTATTAAACAAAACATACATTTTGTCATTATTGAATTGCGTGACATGATTATGAAGGGGGCGACGACTGTAATGACTGGAGGAAGAAAGCAAGCTGCGAGGACCCTATAATAGTATGGAATAAGGACAGCGAGAAGATGATTTTTATAATTACAAACTGTTTAACATCATGATTGTTCGTCTCTTACCATTCCAACAGGAATCTTTGTTCTTTTATTTTTATCGTAAAGGTATCAGGCGATGTTATAGGTGTTCGTGTGTTTGTATCGTGTTTTCGTGTGACCACCCTCTGACGTAAACTGAGCCGTATGCGACAAGCTATGACGTAAGGTCGCCACCATTAATTCATTTGCCACATTCTCCTGTTACAACGAAAGTAATCTATTAGTCTACATTACAACAAAACAATGAAAAAACATTGGTGTGACCTTCGTCTATGGATTTGGGATACAGTTATATGTCTTTAACCTATTTTGAACTAGAATGAAATTGAACATACGTAACTATCGAGAATTTTAGGATTTTATTCAAAATGTTTTAGTAAAAAAAATATTAAACGTATTTATAACATCTTACTTTAATTATGTCGACAGAAATG